TGCCACACCATCAACAATGCTCACATAATCAGTCAGTTTACCTGGTTGTAAATCTCAAAAAGAAGGTAGTTTTGTCAGTATTACTATAAAAGAGTACAGAACACTGATATTGGTCCTCATTAGCTCTGTAAAAATATTTCAATAACTTCCTCAAAAGTTTTCTTGTCTCTCATTGGTAGTCACTGTGGGGAGTTAGTAGAGGAGAGAGCTCTCAAGTTGTCAGCAAGAGTATTTTCTGCAAGTGCCAAACACTGTTACCTGGGTTTAAACTTGACTTCAGGTAACAGAGTTCAGGTTTGTGGATTCTATTAGACTTAACCGATAAAGCTCCCCCGGCCAGTGTTTTCCATCTCTTGGCCTCTGGCACTTTTAGCAGTTTACCCCCTATGCCCACTGGGGAATTCTGTTAAATGTACCCAAAGCTTTGATATGGGGTCCCTGTGGGCTGTGACAGGAAAGAGGGGATTGCAGCTGCATGATTTAACCGCTTTTCACCATCCATATTCCTTGCCAGAGAGAATCTCTGTCACATCGGCTAACGGCAGAGACAAGGCCCGTGAAAGAAACCGTAAAATGTAAAACTCTATTCTGAGAAAACACATCATCCAATGAATGCCTGGTAGCTTGTGCTGAGAGACAATAAATGTTACTGCTCTACAGGAAGGAGAAATGAGAAATCCTACTCCCGAGGGAGGGAAAAGACATCTCCACGTGTGACATGTAGTTAACATTATGGATAGCATCTGCCCGTGCTCTTATCCTGATGTAAATTTGTTTTCTCTTCACTGACTTGAACAGTAACAATATTAAAATGTGAATGAAGCACCAGATAGGAATTTTATTACAACCTCCAAGGCAATCTGACTGGAGGGGGGGCGGGTAGGAGTGAGGGAACAAAAGCACAAAGCAGTTAGTGACCCCTAGTATTTATCGCCTCTATTGGAAAGCCAATCTGTTTATTAACAATAAGCCAAATGCTTGTTGGAATAAATACATTTTTTAAGCTTTGCCAACATCATATAATTGGATTTTACATAAAGCTTCTGAAGTGCTCTGTACTAACTTGTTGACAAGATTGTTTATTCTTTCTTTTGGGTGAAATATAAAAGGAAATTATTCC